CAGTGTTGTAAACATGAGACCATCTATGTTTAAGACTGTTATATGTCAATGGTCTCATGCTACAGTGTTGTAAACATGAGACCATGCTATGTTTAAGACTGTTATATATGTCAATGGTCTCATGCTACAGTGTTGTAAACATGAGACCATCTATGTTTAAGACTGTTATATGTCAATGGTCTCATGCTACAGTATTGTATACATGAGACCATCTATGTTTAAGACTGTTATATGTCAATGGTCTCATGCTACAGTGTTGTAAACAAGAGACCATCTATGTTCAAGACATATATATGTCAATGGTCTCATGCTACAGTGTTGTATACATGAGACCATCTATGTTTAAGACTGTTATATGTCAATGGTCTCATGCTACAATGTTGTAAACATGAGACCATGCCTGTTTAAGACTGTTATATGTCAATGGTCTCATGCTACAGTGTTGTAAACATGAGACCATCTATGTTTAAGACTGATATATGTCAATGGTCTCATGCTACAGTATTGTAAACATGAGACCATGCCTGTTTAAGACTGTTATATGTCAATGGTCTCATGCTACAGTGTTGTAAACATGAGACCATCTATGTTTAAGACTGTTATATGTCAATGGTCTCATGCTACAGTGTTGTAAACATGAGACCATGCCTGTTTAAGACTGTTATATGTTAATGGTCTCATGGTACAGTATTGTAAAAATGAGATCAACTATGTTTAAGACTGTTATATGTCAATGGTCTCATGCTACAGTATTGTAAACATGAGACCATGCCTGTTTAAGACTGTTATATGTCGATGGTCTCATGCCACAATGTTGTAATCATGAGACCATCTATGTTTAAGACTGTTATATGTCAATGGTCTCATGCTACAGTGTTGTAAACATGAGACCATGCCTGTTTAAGACTGTTATATGTCAATGGTCTCATGCTATGTAATTGTTATATAGAGACCATGACAAGTATATAGTGTATTGTAGTCCCTGGTCTCTTGTATGTAATTGTTATATAGAGACCGTGACAAGTATATAGTGTGTTATAGTCCCTGGTCTCTTGTATGTAATTGTTATATAGAGACCGTGACATGTATATAGTGTGTTATAGTCCCTGGTCTCTTGTATGTAATTGTTATATAGAGACCGTGACAAGTATATAGTGTGTTATAGTCTGTCGTCTCTTGTATGTAATTGTTATATAGAGACCGTGACAAGTATATAGTGTGTTATAGTCCCTGGTCTCTTGTATGTAATTGTTATATAGAGACCGTGACAAGTATATAGTGTGTTATAGTCCCTGGTCTCTTGTATGTAATTGTTATATAGAGACCATGACAAGTATATAGTGTGTTATAGTCCCTGGTCTCTTGTATGTAATTGTTATATAGAGACCGTGACAAGTATATAGTGTGTTATAGTCCCTGGTCTCTTGTATGTAATTGTTATATAGAGACCGTGACAAGTATATAGTGTGTTATAGTCCCTGGTCTCTTGTATGTAATTGTTATATAGAGACCATGACAAGTATATAGTGTGTTATAGTCCCTGGTCTCTTGTATGTAATTGTTATATAGAGACCGCGACAAGTATATAGTGTGTTATAGTCCCTGGTCTCTTGTATGTAATTGTTATATAGAGACCGCGACAAGTATATAGTGTGTTATAGTCCCTGGTCTCTTGTATGTAATTGTTATATAGAGACCACAACAAGTATATAGTGTGTTATAGTCCCTGGTCTCTTGTATGTAATTGTTATATAGAGACCATGACAAGTATATAGTGTATTATAGTCCCTGGTCTCTTGTATGTAATTGTTATATAGAGACCATGACAAGTATATAGTGTGTTATAGTCCCTGGTCTCTTGTATGTAATTGTTATATAGAGACCACAACAAGTATATAGTGTATTATAGTCCCTGGTCTCTTGTATGTAATTGTTATATAGAGACCATGACAAGTATATAGTGTGTTATAGTCCCTGGTCTCTTGTATGTAATTGTTATATAGAGACCATGACAAGTATATAGTGTATTATAGTCCCTGGTCTCTTGTATGTAATTGTTATATAGAGACCATGACAAGTATATAGTGTATTATAGTCCCTGGTCTCTTGTATGTAATTGTTATATAGAGACCATGACAAGTATATAGTGTATTATAGTCCCTGGTCTCTTGTATGTAATTGTTATATAGAGACCACAACAAGTATATAATGTATTATAGTCCCTGGTCTCTTGTATGTAATTGTTATATATGGAGACCATGACAAGTATATAGTGTATTATAGTCCCTGGTCTCTTGTATGTAATTGTTATATAGAGACCATGACAAGTATATAGTGTATTATAGTCCCTGGTCTCTTGTATGTAATTGTTATATAGAGACCATGACAAGTATATAGTGTGTTATAGTCCCTGGTCTCTTGTATGTAATTGTTATATAGAGACCATGACAAGTATATAGTGTATTATAGTCCCTGGTCTCTTGTATGTAATTGTTATATAGAGACCACGACAAGTATATAGTGTATGTAATTGTTATATAGAGACCGTGACATGTATATAGTGTATTATAGTCCCTGGTCTCTTGTATGTAATTGTTATATAGAGACCATGACAAGTATATAGTGTGTTATAGTCCCTGGTCTCTTGTATGTAATTGTTATATAGAGACCATGACAAGTATATAGTGTATTATAGTCCCTGGTCTCTTGTGTGTAATAGTTATATAGAGACCGTGGCAAGCACATAGTGTGTAATAGATAGAGACCATGACAAGTATATAGTGTGTTATAGTCCCTGGTCTCTTGTATGTAATTGTTATATAGAGACCATGACAAGTATATAGTGTATTATAGTCCCTGGTCTCTTGTATGTAATTGTTATATAGAGACCGTGACAAGTATATAGTGTATTATAGTCCCTGGTCTCTTGTATGTAATTGTTATATAGAGACCACGACAAGTATATAGTGTGTTATAGTCCCTGGTCTCTTGTATGTAATTGTTATATAGAGACCGCGACAAGTATATAGTAAGTATATAGTGTGTTAGAGTCCCTGGTCTCTTGTATGTAATTGTTATATAGAGACCGTGACAAGTATATAGTGTGTTATAGTCCCTGGTCTCTTGTATGTAATTGTTATATAGAGACCGTGGCAAGCACATAGTGTGTAATAGATAGAGACCGTGACAAGTATATAGTGTATTATAGTCCCTGGTCTCTTGTATGTAATTGTTATATAGAGACCATGACATGTATATAGTGTATTATAGTCCCTGGTCTCTTGTATGTAATTGTTATATAGAGACCATGACAAGTATATAGTGTATTATAGTCCCTGGTCTCTTGTATGTAATTGTTATATAGAGACCATGACATGTATATAGTGTGTTATAGTCCCTGGTCTCTTGTATGTAATTGTTATATAGAGACCGTGACAAGTATATAGTGTATTATAGTCCCTGGTCTCTTGTATGTAATTGTTATATAGAGACCATATAGTGTGTTATAGTCCCTGGTCTCAAGTATATAGTGTATTATAGTCCCTGGTCTCTTGTATGTAATTGTTATATAGAGACCGTATATAGTGTATGTATATAGTGTGACAAGTATAGTCCCTGGTCTCTTGTATGTAATTGTTATATAGAGACCGTGACAAGTATATAGTGTATTATAGTCCCTGGTCTCTTGTATGTAATTGTTATATAGAGACCATGACAAGTATATAGTGTGTTATAGTCCCTGGTCTCTTGTATGTAATTGTTATATAGAGACCACGACAAGTATATAGTGTATTATAGTCCCTGGTCTCTTGTATGTAATTGTTATATAGAGACCATGACAAGTATATAGTGTATTATAGTCCTTGGTCTCTTGTATGTAATTGTTATATAGAGACCACGACAAGTATATGGTGTATTATAGTCCCTGGTCTCTTGTATGTAATTGTTATATAGAGACTGTGACAAGTATTTAGCGTGTTTTAGTTCCTGGTCTCTTGTGTGTAATAGTTATATAGAGACCATGACAAGCATATAGTATGTAATACTCCCTGGTCTCTTGTGTGTAGTTGTTATATAGAGACTGTGACAAGTATATTGTGTGTTATATTCCCTGGTCTCTTATATGTAGTTGTTATTTAGAGACCATGACAAGTATCTAGTCATTTCAGTTGGTAAAAAACATTTAAAAAATGATCATCATGGCTTTCTATGTGCAAAATTTGCATTTTAGACCATGACAAGGTTTATGTTATGTTACACTGTCACTTACTTCCAGCTTAATAGGCTGTAATCTGAAGATATCATCAGGTCTTAATTATCAATGATCCCATGCTGCACGTAGGCAATGCAAAAATGAAAGTAGCCTCGTTCTGATTAGTCACGTGATAGAAGAGACCACGGTCTCATCGCTGTTTTTGCATAGTAAATATACCTCTGATGGTCGCTGTGTAAGTGTTAATGAAGAGTGATGAATGAAAGTGATGAAAAACGGAAAAACAATATGTTTCTTAAAATGATTGAATTGATCAAGAGTAACATTTAGTCAAAATTTGTTTTTTATTTTGTTTTCTCGAAGAAATAACCATAATTTTCATTTAAATTTTACTTAGCACTGATCCTCTCTTAAGAGCATGACTACTGGGCACTCGAGGGTATACATGTTTGTAAAAATATAAATCTATACAATAGGCCCGTGGGCCTTATAGATCACCTGAGAATCATGTAACAACTTTTTAACAATTGACTTTGGTTCCTTTTTTAAACAAGAGGCCATGAATTTCACAATTTTTGTTCCCCTTCACTCATAGATGATTTATGCCAAAATAAGCTGAGTGGTTGAATTGAAGAAGCTGAAAAAATGTTCAAATGATAACACACGGCGCACGACAGACGAAAACAGATAGCAATAGGGCACCTGAGTTTAATCAGATGACCTAAAAATCTATTGGTAAAATTAAAACAAAACAAATGTATATACTTGTATAGTATACATATCTCTCTAAACATTTTGAATAACACTTTATATCTTTTTCTTTCTTGCATATTAAGTAAAAGTGTTATACAAGTAGCAGCAGATGTACAAGCCAGGCTGATTAATTCATTCAGTTTCTTCTTTGACCTCTTCCTTCTTGATTTTCTTTGGGGAAGGTGTCTTTTTATTTGTTTTGCCAAAGGGACAGATGGGTTTATTCAGGCATTGGTAGCACTTTGGTCCTACTGGTAGACAAGTCTGTTGTCCAAACCCAACCAGTAAATGATTGATTTCACTCCAGTTTTCCCTGTAACAAATAAATTGTATTTTTTACTGCAATATAGCTATGAGATGTACTGTAAAATTACTTGTTTCAAGGGGTAAAATTTTTGTAGCTTGAGGGGGAAAATATGGTTTCAGGGATTCGATTTCATCGGTTCAGGATAGACTTTAATCAATTTATACTCTTGCAAAGAATTATAATATTTTAATATAGTCTCTTCATACCATGAAATCAACAAAAATTAAACCTCCATGAAATTTAATCACTTCATAGTACAAGATCTATAACTCAATCCATGAATTGATGAAAAATATTATAGAGTGTTCATATGTTAAATTGCTTGAATGTGTAAGTTTATATGTTTGCCCAGAGTCAAATGAAATAAATTTACCAGTAAATTCAAGACCAAGTGGCTTCTGTATTTAATATGCATATTATAAAATGATACCTTGGTAACCAGTCCTCCAGTGCTTTCCTTGTATCCTCCGGCTGTTTTGTCGGCTTTTTGACCCAGCCAAGCCGATTGGAAATCCTGTGAACATGTGTGTCCACTCCAATACCCTGAACCTGATTCCAGGCACACTTCATCACCAGGTAGGCCATCTTGGGTCCAACTCCTGGCAGCTTACATAGCTTCTCCACAGACTCTGGAATATCTCCATTGTACTCCTCCTGTAGAATTTTGCTTGTCTTCTTTATATACTCCACTTTTCTCTACAACACATTTGGAAATTGAATAAATATATATATATATATATTAATTAATAAAAAAAAAATCAATTAAAAAAATTTAGCCGGTAAAAATATTGTTTTCAATTGTCATTCTATTTTTAATGTTTCAATGCATCTTTCCACTGCAGGGTTTATTGATATTCAAATTATTTGAATTTTTATTTTGAAAAAAAACGCTTTTCCCCATAGACTTCAATGCAATCTTTGCTAATTAACTACTTCTTAATTAATGAAAATTTTGAAAATTTCTCGTGGGCAATCCTTTTCCACTAAAAATTGCTTAAATATAATGTCAGTGTATTATGTACTTGACGAACATTTCAGGGTAGGGAATTAGGTCCCATTAGGGATGGAAATCCTTAAATCAGTAAACGTACCCTCCAGAAACCAACAGGATAAATCAGCTGTCCTAAAACTTCATCTGAAGTCTGCAATATGCTGTCAATGCTGCATCCATGCTCCCTCAACTTCTTCATGGCCGCTGAGGTTATCTGGTCCTTCGTTTGACTTGAGAGCATGAGTGAAACCAGGACTTGATATCTGTACACCTATTTCAGATACGAGAAAAATAACACATAACACTTTGCACAATTTTAAAATTTTATAGAATACTCTACATAAAAAAGAATATTTTCAGGGTTGTCAATCTATTTGTAAATCTAAATTGATGTACAATTTTGAAAACTGGTAGATCATACATCTTCTTTTTCAAGGCTTTGACTACATGTGTTCATGCACCTAATGAATATCAGTTCCAGAGAATGTCAACATAGGTGTTGAACATTGATCTCCTTCAATCAGTCAGTTTAACATGAGTGTCTTATGCCTGTATACGTTGTATTTCCATTAGTTAACTCTTCAGAATTAGAGGCGCGTTTGGTCGTCTGATTGGGACAGCATGGCATTACGATTACGGATAATACAAAACATGCCAGTATCAATCCAATTTTAAATGTCAAGTGCATTTGTCATTCTAACTAAAGAATAGAAGAACTAAAAGACATATGTTAAAGAGCGAAAACCCTAACTTTATCGTCCATTAATAAAAATACGACATTTCCGAGGTACTAGTATGTGTATTGACTTTAAATGTACCATTACGATAAATAGATACATACGATCACCAATACTAGTAGTTGTAAATCAATATCCTTGTCATCTCTACTGTTGATTTAAATAAAGTCCACAACAATAAATTATTTCATACGCATTTCGTTAAGATTTGTTCATCGACATTCAACGTGTTGTTTACATGTTTATGTTTTACGTTTGTCCCAGAAATCCCGCGAGATTTGAACATTCTCCGACTTTTTCACAAAAGAGCGCACTAAGGACTATAACTCTTCAATAGTGGAAATAGAACGTATTAACAAAAGCAAGAACAGCTGATTTTTTAAAAAATCTGTTACACAACTTTTTTTTTCTAATGTGAGCTCAGCTTGAAGTAAAGTATAAACTGGATATATGGTAGGTTTAAATTTTGAAATTGAGTGCAATATTGCAAAACTGGAGAACTTAATTAAGATAGAGTAAATTTACATGAGCTCCCGGATTCGAACCTGGGCTCCTGGAATCTCCAGTCAGGTGCTCCACCAACAGCTATCTGGCCAACGGCGATCAAACCCAGCTGACCCCCACATTCCTCTCTCCTTAAAGATCTTTGGCCCTCCAAAGACCCCAACCCAGGCTCATCCTTTCCAGGACTCTCACCTTCAGTTCCAGGGCATGGCAAGGCACCAAATGTAACAGGAGATGAGAAAAGGCAGTGGACCAGACCAGAGATTCAGGGGGCCTGGATTCAAATTCTGGTCTGGTCCGCTGCGTTTTCTCCTCTCCCATTACAAAAGTAACATTGGCTGTGTAATGTAAATAGTGAGGTAGTTGATTGATCAATGCTGGAAAGTTTAGTGAAAAAATTCTCCCCAACCGTTCACAGAAAATCTTGCACCGTATAGATGGTTTTCCATTGAGTTGATTTAAGCAAGAGTTAATTATTCATCATGTCCACCATATTGTAAGGCAACACTCCCAGATCCCTTTATTATTCAACCAAGTTCAATTTAATTGTTATACTGGTTACTGAGGTAAAGATAACACTATTTTTCTTATTAATACATGTATACGTTTGTTAAACCCTCTATTAATTTTTTATTTTAAAAATTGTAAATTAAACTTTCCCAAATATATTTCTGGCATGCATGTTTTAAAAATTGGATGCTCAAAGAGGAAAATTCACTGCTTTGCCCTACAAGATGGTGGCTAAGGAGAATAACTCTTTGGCAAAATATGTCATAGGAAAACCATCTATACTAAAATACAGAATCTGTAGCGTAATCAGGGTCAAAGACTAATATACAAAACCTAATGTTGCGGGTGTGCAGCTACTATTGGTTTAACCATTTAGCTTTGTCGGTAGAGCATTGGATCTTAAATCTGAGGGTTGTAGTACATTCCAAGCACAGTGTGACCCACTAACTGATTTGTACGTCATAACTACTGAAATTGAATACTAAATTGAATATATATACACATATCCAGAGTTTGTCATTCCAAAACTTTACCTCAGGAGATGCAAGAGCGTCGCTTATAACATCACAACCCATGGAATCTACAGGAGCATCCCTGTTTTTCCTCATCTCGTAAATATTTTTCAGCTGCTCCCTCCACATTGGGGGTTCCCAGTTACAAAGTTCTTTCTTCACACTGTCGACTGTCTCAGACTCTTCATACTTTATTTCCACCTTTTCCTTTATTTTTCTTTTCCGCGGCGGGGCATTATTTTTTGTTGCGTTGGACGACTCTTGCAGTTGCTGAACATCAGTTTCTACTTTCACTTTCACAGTAAAACACGATCTTGTTGCACGTTGGTTAAAATACGGCGATTCCATGTTAAAAGATTTGAAACCTTTTAAATTATGACGTGTAAGTAGTTGGCAAGTTTTTAAACCAACTCTAAACAAAGTCATCTGCAAAATATCAATAAACTATGCATACTGGCTAACTGCTTGTATAAGCACATGCTTGCCGCCATAAGTCAATTCCAAGGTCAAGGTCAATATACCATGCTGAGACAAAACCAAAACTAGAACGTAAAAGACTACCATCAGCATAATGGCACTGGACCCAGGACAGAAATGTCCCATGGTACTGTTATGCGGGAATTCTCATCCAGAATTGTCACAACTAATTGCACAGTAAGAAACTTCCTTAAATTTACGCTAAAATGGAAACAAAATAGTCTATCATTGTTTATTTATCTCTATTATGGGCAGTGTCTATATACACGACCGTCGTGTATATAATTTCAATGACTATTCGCACGACCGTCGTGTATATAATTTCAATGACTATTCGCACGACCGTCGTGTATATAATTTCAATGACTATTTACACAACCGTCGTTTAAACATGCATTGTATATCTTTTCTTGTTTGAGTGCGAGACGGTTCGTCCCCACAGACCATTCGCACCGAGGCGTTTCGTCCCAATTAAGACGGTTCGCATGCACGACCAATTATTTGGTTACATGTATCTGATGTATGTAGTAATTGTCACTTGTTGACAGAAATCATTTACTTCTTGTTGACTTTTGAACTTTGTTGTATTAATTAAACCATTTTTTTCAATAAATTAAGGATATGGAATCTGTGGAATAAACAATTAACATGAACAAATGACCTGATGCACTGATTTAATTCAAACATCTCAGTGCCAGTGGTGCCGATATCTTGTATAATTGGGGAAATATTGAGAACAAATGATGCACAACCTAAATAAAATGAAAATTTCTCTCCATATTAGGAAATAAAATCGAGAACCTCTCTTTAAATTATTGTATATAAAAATGACCTCAATATATTTTCAAAAGGCTCTAAAATTTAATTTAAAAAAATAATTGTCAAACCTGCTTTTTTATGAACTTATGTTACTTTAAAAACAAAAAAACAAAACAAACAAAATTTTATTAATAATTCTCTTTGACTTCACAAGCAGAATCTCCCAATTATGGTATAGCACCTTCATTACAAAACTGCATGAATCAGACGATAAATAAACGTACCGGTAATTATATCTGCACGTGGATAACTATTTTATATGTATACTTAATTTTGATTAGTTGAAAGAAGGTGATTTTTTTTTTGTGAGAACCGTAAAGGAAGTGGAAAGTTTCCTCTCTTCATTATATAAAGAACATTAAATTGCTTTCGATTATACCGACTCTGTTTTCTTTAATGAAATTAAAAAAAAAACGAACGTGCTTTCAACGATATCATGTTATTGTATGCTCACCAAATTACCTGATTTATACAGTGAATTATACAATGTTTTATTTTAGATTTTCCAGGATTCGTTGACCTTACTGGCAAAAACCGATAGAATATCAAAATATTTGAGCAGTGAGTGCAAGTCGGGCACAATCTGAAAAAAAAAAGAACAATAGGAAAACTATTATAATTTAATGTTAGACTTGAATTGATCACATAACTATTATAATAATGTGTGAAATATCCACATTACAGGGGGAAAAAATTTCATCTACTATATAGATCTGCAGAAAATGAGAAATAAAAGAATTTGCAGGAAAGATCTTGTTTTACTTGATTATATCGTGAATTTCTACCCAGTAGAAGCCCGCTGGATTAGTTATGCTTCAATGCACCCATTGCACCACGTCAGCACCTGTCAAACTGGTAAAAATGGTGACAAAAATTCACCTTCTTTGGTCGGCTCAATAAAATGACTGTTCAGTAAAATAAATTTTGATTTATGATTTTTGAGCGTTGATTTCTTTTTATCAAATTCTTAAATTAAAAGCCCATGCACGTAATTCAATACACCGACGGGTATAAAATAATAAAATTAAGGTATATTAGATCTGGAAGTAATTTTGGGGAACGTAAGTTACTAACTGTACGCTTTCAATAAAAATGGGCATAAGGAATAATCAGATATTTTAAGTATTTTTATTTATTTAAGTTTAATACTAGTTTAAACTGCAAATTCTGAAAAATAAGTGCTGAAAAAGTTGCATCATTGTGTTCACTAGTCAAAACAATTAAAAATGACGTCTTCGATACGAAGTTCGAAACGTGCTGGTCTCGAGAAGTTTGGGGACAAATTTAGGGTACGGACGAATTTAGGGTAACGTTACACGACGATAAATGCGGTCGTATGGAACGCCAACACTGCCTTATAGCATACAACTATGCATTTACTATGTCAGTTTATCATTACGTGATGTGAACATATCTTTACGTTATGTAAATTTTTATGAGATTATGTAAAAATATCTTTACATCATGTCAATGCTGCATTACATGAAGTAAATACATCCTTTCATTATGTCAGCACTTCATAACTTGAAGTCGAAAATTCATTATGTGAAGTGATAATGTGTTTACTTTGTGTTAAAACTTTATTACGTGAAATGAATGTTTCTTTATATCATTTCATTTCTTTAATATGTGAGATCAAAATTGCATTACGTCAAGTGAATTGTGTTTTATAATTAAACTTATCATTACATTATGTCAAAAATCCATTCCTTTTTGAGAGTGTATATTTCTATTATATCAAAGCATTATTACATGATTTGGGTTTATCTTTATTTTACGGCGAGAGCATCATGATGTGAGGTGAATACATCTTACCTTTATGTCAGTGATTTATTACGTGGTGTAAAAAGTGTATGACATTATGTGAACATATCTTTATATTATATCAACACTTTATCACGTTATGTCAAAACTCCATTCCGTGATGTGGATATATACTTACGTTATGTCAACTCTTTCTTATGTGATCTTAAAATATCTTTATATTGTGTTAACTCTTTATCATGTTGATTCCAAAAGTGCATTACCTGATGTAAAAATACATTTACATTATCTCAAAGCTGCATGAATGTTGACGACCGTGTTTTTATGACTGGTAAGAGGGGGGGGGGGGTCCTGATTGATTAGGAAGAATTACAGGCACAAAATATCAGCCCCCCTCTTTTCCAAGACATAACTTTACAATAGAAAATGTAATGTTCATTGAAAGTATACAGCCCCCACCTCACTTTTTCTTGAAGCATAGTCCACTGAGGGTATAATGGGGTATATCTGACAAAAAAATTAAGTCTGGTCGAAGTTGGACCCCCCCCCCCTCCCCGAAATAGGATTTTCGGGCTTGGAGTGGACCATTTTTTTTATTTTTATTTATTTATTTATTTATTTATTTATTTATTTTATTTTTTTTTTTGCTTCTCAAGTTTTTTTTTCGGGCGAATATTTTTTTTCTGGCTGACCCCATCCCCCTCCTTTCGAAAAAGATAATACGTCACTGTATTTAGTAATTTTTTCAACCATTCCAGGGCCAGAATTCTATTACAAAAATCTACCAATCCCTCATCTAAATCAATTGAATATGCCTTAGTAAGCATTCATAGACACATATCAGTAGCGGATATGAGAATCTTGAATAAAAAAAATTCTTCAAGCCCGAAGGGGGACGGTTTATGGTTGGAGACCAAGGGGGAAAGCGGAGAAGCTCTCAGGCTTTATAGTTTTATATAAAAAAAAGTTTTCAACTTAATTCAGCTAAACTTAATGTGAAACTAATGCAATGTCCTACAAAGTAAAGCAATAAATTTATTAATTCTATGTACATGTAGATTTTGGTCACTAAAGATGGTAGGGCGGGATTTCCCCCTCCCCCCAACCCACCAGTGCACGTGTGTTATACGATGTGTTTACACTTTTAAAAAAAAGGAAAGTTCAAGACTGATAAAAAAAATTATGACAATGTTCTTAGTAAGATCAGAAGTTTAAGACTTTTATCCAAAAAAATCCCAAACAAACAAACAATTCAAAATAAAAAGAAAAAAAATGCTGCAAGACTCATAATATTTTATTTATTTAATTATCAGAATAAAGTAACGCCATTGAATTTCGACGTGACTTTAAGTCACAGTCGCAGTGTTAAGGCTTTGCACGTTTAAAGATTGTCAATCCTTTGTCGCTTAAAATTTTTATTTAAAGATGCCATTCCTAAATCGCTGAGATTTCTTCTACGACAATTATCTCTCCCGCCAATTTTAGTGCTTGCGGAACGCGGAAAATACGTTATACTCATATAAAGGCCGAGGATACCCGTGTTCGCATAACGTAATAGTGAATCGACATAATGTAGTAGTGTGAGTTAATATCATAAAGAATTGACATAATGTAATAGTAGGTTAACACAATGGAATTGTTGTTTAATTAAATGTCATAAACAGTAAACATAACGAAATATGCAAGAGTGTGTAAATGTCATAAAGTGTTGACATAATGTTATGGAAGGTTTACACGATGCAATAGTAGTGTGGGATAATATCATAAAGAATTGACACAATATAATGGTAGGTTGACACAATGCAGTAGTAGTGTGGGTTAATGTCATAAAGAGTTGACATAATATAATGGAAGGTTGACACAACGCAATAGTAGTGTGAGTAAGTGTCATAAAGAGTTGACTTAATGAAATGGAAGGTTGACACAATGGAATAGTAGTGTGATTAACTGTCATATGGAGTTGACATTATGTAAAGGAAAGTTCACACAATGCAATAGTAGCGTGAGTAAATGTCATAAAGAGTTGACATAATGTAAAGGAAAGTTCACACAATGCTACAGTTGTATGAGTTAATATCATGTGGAGTTGACATAATGTAATAGAAGGTTGACACAATGTAATAGTTGTGTGAGTAAATGTCATATAGAGTTGACATAATGTAATGGAAGGTTGACGCAGTGCAATTGTTGTGTTCTGTTATAAGGCAGTGACGGCGTTCCATACGGTCGTGTACATATCTCGGGTAATGTGCAGTAGCTATATGCAAGACGGTCGTGTGAATAGATTTTACTTAATATCTATGCACGACGGTCGTGTATATATCTCATCACTTTGCAATAGCTATTTGCACGACGGTCGTGTAAATAGACTTTCCATATAGTGCGCACGACGGTCGTGTATATATCATCGGCCTCTATTATGCAGCTTGCATCACTGGTCATTCACCATTTACCAGAGTCACAGAAAAATATCAAAATAATTTTGAAGGTGTATGTTTTAAGTAGGTTTGAGTGAAATGTCAACACATATATAAGTTAATATAGATAAATATACCAATGAGAAATATTGCCAAGAAAGCTAACAGTGAAACTGCAAGAGTTGTCTTACCTATTTTTTTCATGCCATGCATAATATTTTTTGACTAAGATTTTAAACTAAAACAAATGTTACCATTATACATGTTATAGGAGACTTGGAGTAAGATTGGGTGACATCAATGTTTATCACAAAACTAACAGAGGTGGGTATATGTTTTTATACATTTTTAAAACAATAACAGAGTAAAACACACTTATGATGAAGTACCAGGAATGAACGATTTTGCTTCTTTGCGTTTTTTAGCTCACCTGAGCTGAAGGTGCTAGTGAGCTTTTCTGATAGAAATTTTTCAGTGTCTGTCATTGTTGTAAACTTTTCACAATTTTATCTTTTTATCCAGAACTACTGGGCCAATTTCAATTAACCTTGACACCGCATATCCTTACATAAAGGGGATTCTAGTTTGTTCAAATGAAGGGACATGCTTTCCTTGAAAAGGAGATAATAACAAAATAGCAAAAAATAAATTGCATCATTGAAATATCTTTTTCTTATAAATAAGAAGCAATGGGCCAAGAAAGATGACACTCATGTGGAATCATATATTGTAAGAGAGTGTAGATTCAAGTTTGTTCAGATCTTGACACAAGGGTCATGAAGAATGGGGGCAACAATGCAGGATCAAAGTTTTACATACAGGAAATTTTATTTAATTCTTCTCAAGATCCATATAAGTAATGATTGGTCATATTGATTTGAATTTAAGCATCCTTAGTTAGTTCCAAGTTTGTTCAAATCATGACCCCTAGAGTTGGGTGTGTCCACAGTGAAAGTATTAATTTGCAGGGGAAAAAATCAGTTATCAAAAAAATATGTAAGCATCCTTATTTAAAGTTCAATTTTGATCAAACTTTACCTCCCCCTCCCCCTGAACCACTTATCCATTTAATCTTTTCAATGCTAAACTAATCTTTGCTTTTATCGTAGACACAGTGCTCAGGTGAACAATGTGGCCCCTGGGCCTGTTGTATCTGTTTAATTTACATTATGTACATTTGTATCAAAGAATTCTTTTTTATCTGTGAATTTAAAATTGAATTCCTGAAATTTAAAATAAAATTATATATAAAGTAATTATTAGCCTTAAACTAATTAATTTGAATTTTTCACTAAAGGGATTGAAGAAACTGATTTCTTAGATTTATTAATTTTAGAAACAAATGTAGAAATCAAAGAGTCAGTTAGAGGAAAAGATGTTTACATCATACAAACTGGCACCAAGTAAGTGAATTATATTTAGTAATGTTGATTTCTTGCTAATATCAGAAACATTAGCCTTTATAAGATATACAGTTGAACTTTGGTATCTTAAATACTGATATTTTGGATACTATGGATATGTAGAAGTAATTTTATTAGAAGCTTTTCTGATTTTTGTCTATCATCTGTCCATCCATCCATCCATCCATCCATCAGTACACCTGTAAACTTTTTACATTGTCAACTTCCTCTCATCCTA